GAGCAACTCACCGGAGCTACAGGTGTCTAGATCCCCAGGCTGACTGTTTAGCTATTTCAAGCCTTTTTTGGAGCCTCACAACGCAACTTGACCTCTCTCCTTGGTGCAACCCAGCTGTCTAGTGAAACGGTGAAAACTCAAGGCTGCGAAGTCTGCCAGGCAGAGCTGTGTCTCACTCCCTCACTCATCATCCCGGATTGCACTTTACCCAGCAGCCCTCTCCCGTGTCGGTTGCAGTTCGCTGTAACTCAGAAATCTCCCAAGCTCCCCGGACATGCTCTTTCCCTCATCTGGACCATGCGGACCTCCTGACGTGGAGCTGAGCGTGGCGCTGTCCATTTGTCCCTTTTTATATCTGTGCTCTGGGGTCACTTGGTTTGACCCGACTCCTTAGGCTGTCAATGTAACTTTGGGGCATTATTCTTGCGTCCTGTCTATTAGCTCTCCTCTCAGCCCCCATGATGGCTTAGGAATGTGATGCTCATGCTTTCTATGTGCTCATACTGGACAAGGGGAACCAACCACAACTGAGTAAGACCAGACATAAATGCTGACACAATAGTAGCAGTTGGTCCAGCGTTGTTAACAGCCTAATGATGCCTAAAAGTACACCATCTTCATACCCATTTTAATCGGATCCTCTCTGGTATTATTGCCAAGAGGAGGCAGGAGTCATCCCACTGGAAGGAACCAAACATGCCAAGAAAGGAAGAGTGAAGGGAAGCTGACACCATGTCTCACGGTTTAATATTGTAGCATGTGTCGGTCTATGCATTCTGAGTGTCCTATAACAAAAGCTTGTTGGGTTGTGTGCAACAAAATACAAAGTTGAAAGGACTCCTGGGGATTTGACAGCTTTGCTCTGAAGAAAACTGCATTGTGATGGAATGCAGGTGTTTGTTTGATCACAATAGAGCTCTCTCAGAATTTATAAACCAGGGCACATAACAGTATATATTTTTATTGCAGACATAACAAGAGACCCAAAGGGAGGGAAAAACTTGAATGGTATCTGTGACAAACAAGTGTGCAGAAAATAAAAGAAATGGAGAAAGTGGGAAGGAAACAAATGCTAAGAAAGTGATCAGAATAAGTGCTTTTGAACTGCCTAATGTTGATCCTTCTGAGCTACCTGTCACGGCTTCAGCTGTCACCTCAGCACAAACGTATAGTCATTTGAGAGGAGGGGGCATCAACTGAACAGCCGTCCAGACGAGAATGGCCTTTGGCCATGTCCGCGAGTCATTTCTCGATCGCTCACTGATATAGGAGAGCCCAGTCCATTGTGGGCAGTGCCGCCCCGGGCAGGCGGATCTAGGCTGTGTAAGAAAGGCAGCTGGGCAAGCCACAGGGAGCAGCCCAATGAGGCAGCACCCCCCCCACTCCGCAGTCTCTGTCTCAGTCCCTGTCTCCAGGTTCCTGCCTTGAGATCCTGCCTCGGTGTCTCTCAGTGGTGAATCACAACCTATAAGCCAAAATAAACCTTCCACAAGCTGCTTACCGTCAGGGTGCTTGTCCCGGTGACAGAGAGCAAACCGGAACACCGCCACATTCAACTTCATGTCCCAACACACTGCAATTTCTTCACGCGGCTCCTATTGCCATTGCCAGTCCTACCGACATCACTGTCACTGCGGCCACCAACAGTGACTGTACAGCCGCCACCACCAGGAACAACCTCACCACCGCCCGATAACCGCCATCAAAGCTATGACTATACCAATACTTAAGCCACCAGCACCACTCCCAGCCATTATCATTATTCCACTGGCCATGCCCTAAGAGCTGTCCCAGGTTCTGAAGAGGACAGGCGGCCTGAGTTATCGCCCTGGCTCTGTGGGTCAGCTAGCAACCCTGAGTAAGCCACTTCATGCCTTTGCATCTCCAATCAATGCGTGCATGTTGAATGAATGAGAGAACTATTGTGATATTGTTTTGTGTCTGTTCTTAAAGTCCGCAGACACAAATCATGCCAAGGCAAGTAAGTCTTGCACTCTCCAGATCAGGGAGCTGAGGCTGAGACATCTCTGATTGCCCATGCTTCTCCGTTCCTCTGGGGAACACAAAGCCACCTGAAAATATACACTGAAAAAAACATGTGTCTCAACAAAGGGTATGTGACTTTTAAGCCTGTTCTCAAAGTGGGCCTGCTCCCAAACTACCGATGGACTGCTGGCATCCCGATAGTACTTGGTATCTTGAAGTTTGCTTACTCATTTCACATCCCTTTCTCCCCCTACAGAATGAGACTTAGAGATGACTATGCCTACCTGAGTATTTTCTTCTCCTTTGTACACATAAGGGTTAGGGTATTTTATTAATGAAAAGCAGAAGCATCCAACACATCAATGCTCAGAATGGTTGAGCAGAAAGAGAAGGAAAGCTGCGAGTAAGAGAAGAGAATCTGTTTGATTGGATAACTAAGTGAATTTATAATCACAGTATTTTCCACATGGAAGAAAATGGAATAGTGGTTGATAAAGGTTTACCTCACTACTGCATATAACACTGAATTTTGGTGTTAACTCTGATAGAGTTTGTGCCTAAAAAAACAACAAAAAAGATGTTTTATCAGTATCAGGTTCAACCAGAAACCTGCAAGTTTAAATGGTAGAATCAAGGGCAGGTAACCACGTTGCCTCTGTCCATGTCACACAGCAAGGATGCACAGCCAGAGTCTACAAAACATGGTGTGGAGAGAGTCCATCTCTCTATTCCCTTCATACCTCCTCACAGGCTCTTCTCAGGGGACAAAGCATCTCATCCTTGTTGATATCCTTACTGATGGTTCATGGAGAACTCATCACACTGTTTTAAGCATTTTGCACATGTTATACACCTGTAACATGAGATAAGTAGATATTGTTGCATTTGGGAAACTGAGGCTCAGCAAGCTAGGGAATCAATCTCTGGAGCTCTGTGAGCATGGTGGCGAGCAGCCCTGCCTGTGTACATGTGTGAGGGACTTGTTTCTAAGTTGGGGAGCCTGGAAGGGAGCAAGAAAACAAGAGAGGTCAGACAGGACCGGATGAAAGTGAGGAAGGAAGCGTGTGGAAGACTTGCCTGACCTTGTCTTGGTCATAAGACACCCAAGAGTCCAGGTGCTGGCCTGGGATCCAGACATCAACTCCTCGGAAGTCTCTCCATACTCACATGGTTCTCAGGGGAGCTCACCCAACATTGCCAGAGTGGCTTTTAGGGCAAGTGATATGCACACTAAAAAAAAATGCCCGAAAGAAGAATGGATCTTAAAGTTTCTTACATAAAATGCTTAGAACAAGTAATAACCATGTGAATGACAAAATCATCACATCACATAGTTACTTCAGGTTTGTCTTTCCTTAAAATACAGTCTTCTAGCAGACGTGTCATTCAAAAGTTAGATAAAAGTTACTCCTCCTCCCCCCAGGAAACAAAAACAAAAACAAAAAGGAAGAAAGAAAACACCATGCAAGCTGCAGATTCTTCTAACTGTTCAATTATTTTCCAGAAAGATTGTTCTAGTTTGTAAACTTTGGCTGGCACAGCAGCGTTGAGAATTAATCATTGGTACAAATCCTTGACAGTTTCACAGGATAAAATCGTACCTAACTGCTGCTTTGTTTTGCATTTCTTAGACTGTTGAAAAGTTTCTGAAACTTGCATGTGGAACAGTCTTTCTCTGGCTTTGTAACTTGGTGGGTAGAGCCTGCATCCGTGGCCCTGGACAAGGTTAGGCAAGAGTCTTCTACTTGCTGGTGTCAAGCTTTCATTTAGTAGCACATATGTCTAGCTTCTTTACTACGCCATTAGCAGGCGCCCAGCACAACACTTCAGAAGACGGGCTTTTGTCTGAGAGACACAGAAGGGGGTTGTGTGGCTGTGTTTTCAAATCGGAAAGTATGGTCCCGTCAGGAAAAAGGTACTGACCTCCGCATGGACCTGAAGTGACCCGCGAATCTTCGCCGGCTCATCTTGGCTCACACTTAAGTCTTCAAATTCTGAGATGATTTCAAGGAGAATGAAGCGAGAGGTGGGGAGGCGTGACTCACTCAGCAACCGTGCCCTCTCCCTAGACTGAGGACTGAACGTGAACCCCCAGGACCCACATGAAAAGAAAAGAGATGGACAGTGTGGGTGTCTCTAATCCCTGCAGTGTGCGGGCAGAGACGGACGGGCCCTTGGAGCTTAATGGCTAGCCAGTCCAGCTGAAGACACCAGCCCCATCCATGTTCATGGGTTCAAGAGGAGGCATGTCTCAACAAACATTAGGAGAAGAATCCAGAAGACCCCTGACAGTGACTCCCCAGACACCCACGCTAACGCATCCATGCACCCTCACAACAGATCCCAAAATAAATGGAAAAGGCGACGCTTCTCCCAGCTTTCCTGGGACCAACTTTGGTAAAACAATACCCCATCTCACGTGGGTAGACTTTGAGATTCATTTGGAGAACAGCAGTAGCCATCTTGACATGTATTTCAGGGCAATGCCAGTGGGGGTACGAGGAGAAATTCTAAAATAACTACTTATAAACCTTAAGTGAATTTAATTAGACAGCTAAAATGAAAAAAGCCTAAATTATAAGCCATTGGAGACATGATTAATTGCATGTTCATTATGCAGGAAGCACAGGAACCACCCATGGCTTCCCTCCCGCATCCAGAGGTAAATATATTGTTGCCAGCAAGAGAGCGCCTATCGGGGACAAATGCAAACCCAGAGTCTGCAATCAGATTTGAACAGAAAGGGTTTCTACCTGTCCTGGAGCCTAGAGAACACTGCGCCACCCCTCCTTCCCAGGCAGGTCCCTGGGATCCTCTCCTATCTTTCCCCCAGAAGGCTAAGCCCAACCGTTCCTCATTCTTCCATCCCCTCAGGACCCGGTACACAGCATGGCTTTCACCCGCCCAGCCTGCCTCTTATGTTAACACACGTTTAGTATGTGCAGGGAGACCAGGGATGACAGGCAGGTTACAGTGTCACCATCTGTGTGGGGAATCAGGCTTTCAGACCAACACACAAACAAAATAATCCAGTTTTTAATTTTATAAGATGCGTACATGAAAAGAAAATTCTGGAAAGATATTCTGAGATGCCAACCCTCAGAGATGGGTAAGAGTGATGGATGCAGATGGACCTTGGCTGGGCCTCTTCCTTGGCCAGAGAATGAAACAGCCTGGCAGCCTCCTCCTCTGGTTCTGTGCCCACAGGGTCATCTGGCAGACAAGGTCCTGTGGTTTAAAGCCTCCACAGTAGCCACTGCCCTAGGAAGAAGGAAACTGGGATTAAATGACAATGTTGCCCTATTCAGCTATGGTCCCAATTCTACGAGGATTTGTCGAGGCCCTTGCTGGATGTTTGGCATATTTCTAGGAAATGGGGTACAGAGTGATCAGCACCAAGAGGACCCTGCATCCTGTGGAGGAGGTGTGTTTCACTAAAATAACCAGACAACATTACAATAAACAAATCGCATGCTGTGTTAGGAGGCAGCAAGGTGTGTGTGTGTGTGTGTGTGTGTGCGCACGCGCGTGTGCGTGTGCGTGTGCGTGTGTGTGTGTGTGTGTGTGTGTGTGTGTGCAGTAAGGGTAACTTGGTACAAAGAGCCAGGTGGAGCCTGGGACTAGGGGACCTGCCAGATATAGGAGCTCTGTAGGTGGGGGTGTCTGAGGAAGGAGCTTCTCTAGCACAGGGAACAGGCGGGAGAAAGGTCCTGGGGTCAGATGTGTGAAGAATAGGTACAGCGTGGAGGCCGGTAGATGAGGGAAGAGGCAGTTAGGGCAGAAACTTGAGGTCAGACCACCTTATGGGGCATGGCACATGATGAGGATATAGGTCCCACTCAGGAAAACCAATGAGCCTGTGCAGGGTTCCAAGCAAAGGATTTAGCTTCTAATTTTCCATGTGTATGTTTGTGTACATGCATGCCCATGGATGTGGAGGTCAGAGGACAGCCTTGGTGTAGTTCCTTGGTGAGACAGTCTCTCGTTGAGCTGGAACCCACCAAGTAGGCTAGGCTGACCACCAGCAAGCTCCGTTTGTCTCTGCATCCCCAACACTGGAATTACAAGTGGGCATGGCTGGCTTTCATCATGTGGATTAAAATCATGCCCACACGCTTGCAAGGCGAGCACCTCAGTGACTGAACGGTCTCCCCAGCCCAACCTCTGCTGTTCTACCATATTCGTCACCTATTCAAAATGCAAGGACTTGGGCTGGAGGGATGGCTCAGTGGTTAAGAGCACTGGATGCTCTTCCAGAGGACCCAGGTTCAATTTCCAGCACCTACATGGCAGCTCACATCTCTGTAACTCCAGTTCCAGCGGATCTGATACCTTCACACCAACGCACATAAAATAAAGTTAACCAAATTATTTTTTTAAAAAACAAATGCTAGGATTTTTAGCAAACAAATCTGGGCAACCCAGTTTTAGAATTCTTTGGTTGCTTCCCGTAAAGCATACGCGCCAGCAGTATTCAGGGGCTCACTTCCTTCCTCGCCTCCGGTCCTGGCAAACACTGACCCGCTCTCTGGTTTTCTGAATGGGCTTGCAGACGTCTCAGCTCACTGGAGTCATGCAACAGATGGTCTTTTGTGACTACCTTCTTCTTAGGGTTTTCAAGGATCATCCCTGCTGTAGAATGAACCATCACCATTCCTTATAGGGCAAACAAACCCAGAGTAAAAAGAGATCACTGTAGTTCCCCACCACGAGACACACTTGACATCCTGGTGGGAACTAGGTTTGCTCTTTGAGTGCTTAAGAGCAAAGTATTCTCAAAGATAAGAAGAGGGGACAGGAGCAGCAGTCGGTGCTGTGTCACATGGGCGCTGGGATGGCAGTCGGTACTGTACCGTTGTGTCAAATCAATACTGCTCTGGAACTGGATGGTGGTGAGACCAGATTCATCGGTCCTGAAGATGGGTCGTGGGCTACAAGGGAAAACACAAATACCTACGGGGATTATTGAGAAATGACTGTGCAGATGGCCACAGGCCAGAAAACTAGAAGAAAATAAACTCAGTAGCTTAGAGTCATTGTAATGAAGGGAAGCAGCGATATATTTATGTCACCTGTTCATACTGAACTTCCAGGAGGGTGGCGAATGCACAGCCATAACTCCACACTTAGAGAAAGGGAAAGCATGCCTCGGCGGGCATCCCAGGGTCTCCTCCACGTGCACCAAAAGCCCCAACTAGCCCCAACTGTCAGGCAGGCTTGTGGGTGTTGCTTTCTTCTTCACATAGACAACGCCTGATCCTGTGTTCATGTATCCTTCAAGTGGCTGATCACAGGGTCTAAGGTTAGACTGTCGAGATGCACGTTATCAGCATTAACTGGGGGTTTCCTCATTGGCCCTCTGTTTCCCCTAAGTGCATCATGGGAATGACAACAGGACATACGTCCCCCCAGGCAGTTGTTGAAAACTGGGGGGAAAGACTTGAAACACCCTGCGGAAATCCTGGAGCACAGTAACTGTGTGCTGGCTAGTACCTGCTCCACCTGGACCCATTTGGAGTTGCTCTAACAAATGATCTGTGGCTGCGAGATTCATACAGGAAAGAGGCTTATTTGATTAAGTTTGGGACAATGAAAGCACAAGATATAGAAGCCCCAGCTGTCTGGTGTCGGGTGCAAGCCTTCCGGCTACGTCCAGCATGGCATGTGTCAATGCGGACAGGTCCTTATCGGAAGGAAAGGGAACGTGGCAGCAAAACCAGAAACCAAGAGGGACAAAGCGACTCCTTTTATATAGACCCACTCTCCGGCACAAGGCACGGTATTAACGCATCCATGACAGAAGGCCCACGACATCGTGACTGCTCTACCCCATCCACACAGCCAGGCGTCACAGACCTCCTAGCATTACCATCACCATCGTCATGAGGTTGAGAGATCCCAACTCAACATTTTTAGACCCCTAGGGACTAGCCCATCACAGAGTGACTTGCCCTTCTGCCCTCTCCTGAGAAACTGGAGACCTCAAGATAAACTTAAAAGATAACCCTCCCTGATCCAGGAACTATCTCACCACATTCCTGCTCAATGTTTAACTGTACAATGCCCAAAGAATGCTTGCTTGAGATAACCTTCCTGTTAAGACACAAGCTATCATTTAACTTCCTCATCCTTTATGTTTATGATGTTTACCTAACTTCCCCATCCTTTATGATGGTTGCCTAACTCCCCCATTCAGTTTCTCCCTTTTAAAAACCCTGATTGCAGCTACTGGGTGTCGAACTCCTCTGCCCCTGCGAGGGTCACGAGCTCGGCCCCAGTGCACTGGTTCCCCGAATAAACCTCGTGTGCTTGCAGCAAGAGCGGTCTCTCTTGAATTATTGGGGCGTCGGCTTATCCCGAGACTTGAGTGAGGGTCTCCCCACTCTGGGGGTCTTTCAAGGTTTGTTACTATGGCCCCAGCCGTGATGGGAGCATCACTCCCCATGAACTGCACGCACTCTCTTTTCTCTCCTACCTTGTCCTCAGCCCTTTAGACAGGTCCGTCTACTCTCTAACTACACAAGGCTCCTCCCTCTCATCTCTCCCACTGTCTTTAGTCACTATGACTCCTGAGTTTCCTTGTTTTGCTTTTCCACAGAGGTCCAAGTTCTGGGAAGTCAGTGGCTTAGATCTGGTCTCAAATGGAACCACACTCTCACAGGCTTCCTAAGAGGTTGAGCAGAGGATTTTAACTTAGCTCTGGTCCCCTTCTTCCCCCATCTCCTCAGCTTCCCTTGACACGCCCAAACATGTGGAAGGTTGACTAAACACAAGTTGAGGACCCTTTCGAAACAGCCCATTAAAACCATTAAGAGTCGAAAGCTGACCTTGGGAAATGGCTGCAGTAGCTTTATTACCTTGCTTGAGGTGATGTAGGGGGCGGGGTTAGAAAGCCTGGCTGTCGAGCACTTGATTTCTCAGGGCTCTCCGTACAAGCTTCTAAATTTGGATCTCAAGAATTATTGAGCTTCTACTGGGGAAAAAATATTCTGAAGTCCTGCCAAGGCTCAAAGTAACTCCACAGCTCTTCTCTGAGAGACTTTGGAAAGAGACTGGGTGAGGATTTTACAGTGTGTGTGTGTGTGTGTGTGTGTGTGTGTGTGTGTGTGTGTAATGAAAAAAGTGTGAGGTTGGGATCACCACAGCATGAGGAAGGTTGAACAATGAAAAACACTGCCTAAGGAGTTTACCAAATCAAAGTCTGTCTTTCCTGGGCACCCGCCATGTATGCGTTAGGCATTGTAACTGGATCAGTAGACTCCAGTCTTCATCACTAATCCTCATAGCATCCCATGGCAGAAGGAAGATTTCTCGGAAGAGACCATATTAGAGTAGGAAAGTCATTTGCCCCAAACCACACAGCAGTGAAGAGACAGTGCCTAATAGATTCATATGGTAACCTTGGAATGTAAGCAATACATAGCCTCTATTTAGATGAATTATAGTGGACTCTCTGGGTACTGTCCATGAATAAGAACACTTATAGAGCTCCTTGGCTGTTCTCCAAGCATCACCATGAGTTGAGAACTACTTTTCTAGAATGGTAGAACTAATATTAATCACTTTTTAATTCCTAGGTCCATTTTTTTTGGCAGAACATCATAGATTGACAGGTTAGCACTAGGTTAAAAATTGACCACTGTCAAGAAAGTGGAGTCATATCTCCTTTCCTGCCTTCAACGCATTCAGGGTCAACCCATGTACAGATCCCCTTTGTGTCCCCAGTGTTGAGGAGTGAAGAGAACAGAAGATGGAAAAACTGGAGTTTCTGTCCTCAAGGTTCTAGGGGAAGCAAGTCTCATTTCTTTAACATGCACACTGTGACAGAACTCACTGCGTGGAGGGTCTTGATTAAGTCCCCCAAAGAATCTAACCAATCACACTGAGACAGGCAGGCCCCAAGAGTTCCTGAGATAGCCTGTAACCAAGTTCCGCCTTCAGAGGAATGGCCAGGATGAGAGTTGCCATATTTGTTTGGGTCATAGTTTACGGCTGCACTGGGCGTTTTCTATGGCCAGAAAAGTGTTGTAAGCGATACCCCAGCAATCACCTTTAAGGCACTGGAAAACCGCTGGCACGGATGGCTGACATTTCCAGAAGTCTGGAAGCTGGTGCCAAGCAGAGTAAAGGGAAGAACTGTGAGACGTTCCTTCTCCCCCACTTCTGTGCCATCTTACAGGTCAGCGAGCTCAGCCTGGCAGAGCAGGGCAGAGCCGTGCCCGAGCAGACTCACAGATGGTCCCTACGTCCTTGCTGTGAGACCCTAGGAGGGTTTATGCATCCCGTCAGTCATCTCATTCTTGGCTTTCTCCCCCTCAAAACAGTGAGAAGACACCAGCTTCCTCACAGGATTGCTAGAGCCTTAAAGAAAAAAAAATTTTTTTAATGCGCTGAATGCTAGTTGGCAATGTTATTATTTCAATGCAAATTGCTCCTTTCCTCTACAGACTCAGATTTCTCCCTACACCCAATTTTCATTTGGAACTTAATTTAAGGAAACGAAAAATTACACCGCACTCCCCCACCGTATCTGTCAGCGTGGCACATCCTCAAGTTTGGCAACACAGACGAAGGGTCAGGTTGTGGGGAGCGGGCACTCCCACCTACAGCTTGTGGGGTTATAAACATTGCAGACCTGGGGTGAAAACCTGACAGTAGCCCTTACCTTTGGCTCAGTAGAGTGGCTTCCAGCAGCTTCTCTTAAAGATACACTACCAAATGGAACAGGAAGACACAGCTCACGTTGACCAACGGCAACACATTGGACCTGATTGCTCCACACTCGGGGGAATCAGCTGTGGATACAAGACAGAAATATGAGCATGGGCTGGGTGTTTGACAATCCTGAGGAGCTGCCATTGACGATTCTAGATGTGGTCTTGGCCCTGTGCTTTTGTCTTTCTTTACAGGCTCTTATCTCATAGAGGTGATTGCCGAAATATTTATGAATGGAATACAATGTCAGCTGTGCTTATAGTCAGGAAGAGGGAATGTGTGGGTGACAGTACTGGGGGGGGTTATTATAGTGTCCCATTTTTGTGTTTGCGTGAGAGTTTCCATAACCAAGTCAGGACAGTGCAGATAAAGAGGAAACCCTACCAAGCTCACCTTACTCTTACTCTCAGGACTCTTTCCTCTCCCCAGGGAACCTTGACTTCCAATTGTTCTGAAGGCTTCTGCATGTTTCCTGGGCATTTACATACTATTTGTGTACTCACAAGAGGTGTGGGGGGGGGTGATAATTCTTTTTAAAGTCACAGTTTTGTTTTGTTTTCATTTACAGCAGTGTTATTACCCTCCCTGGTTATCTTCTCATATTTTTGCCCAGTCCCGTATCAGGGAGAGACTTCACATCGGCACAACAGAGATGGGCATGCATGCTGTTGCTGTCCACGGCTGCACAACTGTCATGGCAAGGGTGTGATGCAGGGTATTGACACACTCCCACAATGCTGAGCATTTCTGGTTGCTTCCAACTGGTTGGCTGCGGCCAAAGCTGCAGTGGACATTCTTGGGCATACCTACCCTTGCGTGAGTGTGCTTCTCCAGGCGAGGATGTAGGGATGGGACAAGAGCTGCTGAAATTGCTCTGTGGGCTTCGGCAAAGACTGAGAACCCAGGTTTCATTCCTGGGACCCGCGTGGCGCAAGGAGAAAACCGACTCCCACAGGCTGTACTCTGGCCTCTGCACCCAAGCAGGCTCTCACAGAGGCACACATGCGCACGCACATAGACACCCCTCGCAGGTGCTCCCAGAGGCTTGTCCCCTAAATGGTTCTAGGTCTGGGAAGGCAGATAATTGGCACTAACGATTACACATGTTTTAATAATAAAACAGCTGCTGTTTCACCAACCATTCATGGGTGGAAATCCTGTGCCTCAGTTGCTCCCAATCCCCCATCACACCTCCCAAGGCCACACAGTGTTTAACTCTGCATGCAATCACTCGTACCCAACCTCCTGGACCTCTGTAGCCTTTCCCTCCCCTGTCCCCGGGAGCAGCAGCGCCCCTATGACATACTAAATAGGATCACCATGGAGTGAGAGCCGAGGAGTGGGGGAATGACTTTAGGGTACTTAAACTGCAATGTCCTTCTAACTGCGGGGCCCCAGCTGACCTAAAAACTAAAATACATCCCCAGAGAATATCAAAGTGCAGTTGACACTGGCCCTATGGCTTCCTCTGTCCAGATCAGTCCTGCTGGGTCCGGTCAGGGTGCCGTGTCCTGAGGCTGTCTACTCTTCCAATGTGGCTGAGTGATCTTTGCTGTGGTGGCTGCTTTTGCCAGCAGATCAAAGTTCTTGAAGTTTCTGTGCCAAGCATCTCCCTCTGGTGCAATTCCCTTCTTAATCCAGCCAGACGCTGATGCCAAGCTTTCATGGGCACACCAAGACACTTCTGTGGCTGGTATGGCTGTTTCCTCCTTCTCAGTCAAGATTTTACTTCCTTTTGAAAAGTCTTGCTTCATAAATCTCATTGTATGACTGGCTTTTCGTACATGGTTTCATATCCATTGAAAGGGAGAAAGGCCCCGGATAAGCCTCCTACAATGCTATACGTTTGGGTTTGATGGCGTGACTTAGGAGAGATCTCGAGGCCGAGATGGCCTCACCCACATTTAGAAAACCACGTCCTCATCTGGAGAGAGTGGTCGACTCCATGACTGGACCACAAAGAGTGCAAAGTGAACCTAGAAAACCCTGTTGTTTGGGGAAGTAAAGAAACACCCGAAGAATGGTGAGAACATGTCAGAATACAGCCAGTTTTCCAAGGCCAAGTCTCAACGGATTTGAACATCAAAACAAACAAGGATCTGGAAGGAGACCAATCTGAATGTGCTACACTTAATCAAATAATCACTGGGGAGAGAAGTTATCTTCGTTTCTTTTCCTGTTGTAATAAAACATAGACAAATGAAACATAAGGGGAAATGGGCTTATTCTAGATTAGGAGAACACAGCATGATGGCAGGGAAAGGAAGGCAGCAGGAGCTCAAGGCAGCTGGTTTCACACACACACACTCACACACACACAAGCACACACACACTGACACACACACTCACATACACACTCACATACACACTCACATACACACATTCACACATACAGTCATACACATACTCACATACACACAGACACACAGACACACACTCACACACAGACGCACACAAGCACACACACACTCACACACACAGTCCCACACACACTCACATACACACAGACACACTCACACACACAGACACACACTCACTCACACAGACACACACTCACACACATATAAACACTCACTCACACACAGACACACACTCACTCACACAGACACACACACTCACACACATATAAACACTCACTCACACACAGACACACACACACTCACACACACACATTTACCACGTTCACAAACCTGAAGCAGAGAGTACACACACATACTCACACCCCGCATACACAAACCTGAAGCAGAGAGTGATGAGTCACACCACCGCTCATCGTCCTCTCCTTATTTATACAGTCTAGGATTCCAGCCACGGCATTGTGTCACCTGCACTGGGCAGGCCTTCTCCCACAAAGAACGAGATTAAAATAGGGGCCTGCCTCCAGGAAATTCTAGGTTGTGTCAGGTCGATGATTAGTATTAACCATCACCGAAGTTGTCCTCCTTCCAACAACCAAAAAGTAGGGGAGGAATGGTAGATTTAGAAAATAACCAAATTAACATCTGTCAGGGAACAACTAATCAAACAATGAACATTCTGGTGGGTGAGAATTTGGGAAATACTGGAATAAATTTATACGGTCTGAAGGTATTCCCCCAACAAGAGAACATCACCAGGGAAGAATTTAGAAGCTCAAAGTTAACCTCCACAGCGATGGGACAGATCAGCCACACACATTTCTTGCTATAATGCATGAAGGAAAATGCAGCATGATTTCTGGGTCATGTCTATAAAAATGTCACAGTGTGACCCTTGCCATGGGGAAACATCAGCAGACTCGAGGTGGGGGTTCTTTTATAAAATCATTCACCAGAGATCCAAAAACAATGTACAGCTACAAAGAATTAATCGATTGATCAACAGATTGATTTGTTATACCTTAGTATGCATGATTACAAAAAAAAGAACCAGTCAGAATGTCAATATCATGGAAAACAAAGAAACACTGGGAACTGATCCAAATTAAAGAAGACAAAATAGAACAATACGATAGCAGGCTTCTCTTGGCTACAAAGAACACCATGAGCATAATAAAGGATATCAAAGTGGGATTTGTAGATTAGGAAGTCCCATGCAAATAAATGTTGGTTGCCTGCCTGATAACCGCACTGTGGTCGTGTTAGAGAATGGTCATTCGGCGGCGATGCACCTCCAGGGTATTTGCCTGCTTCCTCAGTTCCCGTGGGTTCACATAACAAAACTATCATAGGCTGGGGGCTAAGCCATGCAAAATTATTTACTCCACTACAGAGGCTGGGGGGTCCAAGATCAAGGTGCCAGCATGGCTTGGGTTCTGGTGACTGCATGCTTACTGGTTTTGTCGATGTCCATCTTATTATCAGCCTGAAATAAAACAACAAAGGAGGCAAGTTCCCTCACTGCCATCGTGTGTCACTAATCTTTCTGGAAGGCTACACACTATAGCCTTAACAAAATCCCATTTCTCTCTCTCTCTCTTTCTCTCTCTCCCTCCCCCTTTTTAAATCCTTCTTTACAGGTTACCTAGACCACTTTTGATTAAGCAAACTGTAGAAAGTTAGTAACTGCCACAAGCAGACGTCTACCAGGTGGTAACACGCATCGGTTTTCCACGGAGTCCTGCTTTGCGGGTTATCTGGATACACAGCTCCGGGGTCTCTGCTCAAACTTGCTGGAATCATTCATGGCGGATTTTAGTCCACAGGTCGCTTTCCCCCATATGTGTTTGTAAACTCTTCAGCATTCTTAGTTTTTATGGTCCTTAGAGTTTTCTTCAGCTAGGTCAGCTTGGAGTGGGTGCTCAGGCTGGGGGTCGTTCATCAGTGTTATGAGGGACTGGATTACTTGGTCAATCTCGGTGGCTGGCTTCCAATTCCCAGCACTAATTACCGGCAGACAGACCTGCCCCTTCTCATCAACGTCAGGGTGGTAGATCTTCGTTTTAAATGTGATCTTGGATGGTTTGAATGGATACTCTGCTGGGAAGTTGATTTCAATTCCGAAGGCCCCCTTGTCATATGGAGGGTTGTCAGGAACAATAACCTCTTGCCAAGCCAATAAATTAGCTTCATCAACCTGGATGTTACAGAAGTTTTTTCTCTCCACATTTGCGGGGATCTCTTCAAGCTCCTTCGTCAGCCTCCTGCCGGCCGCCATCTTGGATCTGATGCTCCCAAAATCCCATCTCTTGGAGCCACCTCAGAGGTCGCTCTCACTTGTGTGAATTTGGAGACGCATAAACATTTAGTCTACAGCGGCAACAAAGGGCCTTTACACCGTGTTTGTAACTTAGGGTCAAGCCGCAAGCTCCAGTTTCTTGTCAGAAGCAACTCAAGTTAAAAAAGGGCTTGGTTTTCCCCCAGATGTCATGGCCCATTACAGCAGGGGAGTCACAGCCGTAGCTCTTGAAGATGGTCACATTTCTTTCACAGCCAGGAAGCAGAGCATGATGGGTGCTTGTGGTCAGTTCACCATTTCCTTTCCACACAGCCCGGGAAATGGTGCCACTCACAATGGGCAGGGGGTCTTCTACTGCACGCATGCCTAGGGATCCCTCTCCTGGGTACTCTGGGTCTCCATTTGACAATTAAGACTAACCATCATGCAGGAGACAGACAGACAGACAGGACTATGTGGTTAAAAAAACTATTATCTGTGGGTTAACAAGATGGCTCTGTAGGCAAAGGCTGCTGTCACAGAGCCCAGAGGTCTGAGCTCAACCCCCAGGACCCACATGGTGGAAGAAGGGAACCAACTCCTGCGAGTTGTCTACAGGTACGCCATGGCAGATGGGCAAACACACACACACACACACACACACACACACACACAGACACACGCACGCATACATAGACGCATAAATGTAAAAGTACTATCTGAAACATCTAGGAAAAGGGTTGATGAGAATCCAGGGTACAATTGTTCTAATTTTCAGTAAGTCTGAAATCATGCCCAACTACTAAAAAGAAAGGAAGGTAGGCAGTGCACCCAAACCACCTCCTCTAGAATATACACTCCAGAGCCTGAGCCTAGGGAAAACATAGAATCCGGGACTGGAGAGATGGCTCAGTGGTTAAGAGCACTGGCTGCTCTTCCAAAGGACCCGGGTTCAATTCCCAGCAACCACATGGCAGCTAACAACTGTCTACAACTCCAAAATCCAACACCATTAAACAGGCAAAATGTCAAATAAAATAAAAAATAGTAACAATAAAGAAAGAAAGAAAGAAAACCATAGAATCCTCTCCCAGAAGCAGCATTGCTCCCTCCCCAGCACATAGTCTCAGCCCCTGTCCGCACCGTTCTGACTCCAGCCAGGAGGGCCATGGAGCTGCAAAATGACACTCCGTCTTCTCTCTTGGCACCAAGCACCTCCACCTCCCCACAGACAGAGTGCTGCGGGATCTGTGTCGTGGACCACAGACAGAGTGCTGCGGGGGCCTATGCCGTGGACCACAGACAGAGTGCTGCGGGGGCCTGTGCCGTGGACCACAGACAGACAGAGTGCCATGGACCACAGACAGAGTGCTGCGGGATCTGTGCCGTGGACCACAGACAGAGTGCTGTGGGACCTGTGCCATGGACCACAGACAGAGTGCTGCGGGGATCTGTGCCGTGGACCACAGACAGAGTGCTGCGGGGATCTGTGCCGTGGACCACAGACAGAGTGCTGCGGGGATCTGTGCCGTGGACCACAGACAGAGTGCTGCGGGGATCTGTGCCGTGGACCACAGACAGAGTGCTGTGGGACCTGTGCCATGGACCACAGACAGAGTGCTGTGGGACCTGTGCCATGGACCACAGACAGAGTGCGGCGGGGACCTGTGCCGTGGACCACAGACATAGTGCTGCGGGGACCTGTGCCGTGGACCACAGACAGAGTGCTGTGGGACCTGTGCCATGGACCACAGACAGAGTGCTGCGGGGATCTGTGCCGTGGACCACAGACAGAGTGCTGCGGGGATCTGTGCCGTGGACCACAGACAGAGTGCTGCGGGGATCTGTGCCGTGGACCACAGACAGAGTGCTGCGGGGATCTGTGCCGTGGACCACAGACAGAGTGCTGTGGGACCTGTGCCATGGACCACAGACAGAGTGCTGTGGGACCTGTGCCATGGACCACAGACAGAGTGCTGCGGGGATCTGTGCCGTGGACCACAGACAGAGTGCTGCGGGGATCTGTGCCGTGGACCACAGACAGAGTGCTGCGGGGATCTGTGCCGTGGACCACAGACAGAGTGCTGCGGGGATCTGTGCCGTGGACCACAGACAGAGTGCTGCGGGGATCTGTGCCGTGGACCACAGACAGAGTGCTGTGGGACCTGTGCCATGGACCACAGACAGAGTGCTGTGGGACCTGTGCCATGGACCACAGACAGAGTGCGGCGGGGACCTGTGCCGTGGACCACAGACATAGTGCTGCGGGGACCTGTGCCGTGGACCACAGACATAGTGCTGCGGGGATCTGTGCCGTGGACCACAGACAGAGTGCTGTGGGACCTGTGCCATGGACCACAGACAGAGTGCTGTGGGACCTGTGCCATGGACCACAGACAGAGTGCGGCGGGGACCTGTGCCGTGGACCACAGACATAGTGCTGCGGGGACCTGTGCCGTGGACCACAGACAGAGTGCTGCGGGGATCTGTGCCGTGGACCACACAGAGTGCTGCGGGACCTGTGCCGTGGACCACAGACAGACAGAGTGCTGCTGGGCCTGTGTCGTGGACCACAGACAGAGGGCTGCGGGGCCTGTGCCGTGGACCACACAGAGTGCTGCGGGGATCTGTGTCATGGCAGGCGCCCTCCTCCTCTCTCGCCCAGTGTCCCATCAGCACCGAGAGGCGGG